AACACTGTGACGTCCTCGAACCGAGCGTCGCTCCAGTGGGGTCGTCAACGCCCGATTGCTCCGGATGCTCTGGCCAGGGCGAGCCAGCAAGCATTCACAGCGACCACACAGCTGGCCACTAGTTTGCGCAGCGCTGTGCTAGCCGAGTGGAAAGAGATCGCCGCATACGCCCAAGCGGTTCGGGGAGTGTTCAATGCACGTGACAATCTGGAGGTGGGTCATCATCTACCTACCTATCTGGTATTTGAGTTCAGTTGTTGATCAACCTTAGTCGTGTTTCGAAGCCTATGGGCTGTCGTTTGCCCACTATTCGAGGTTCCAGTGCCGAAAGCATTGTTCGCTGTTTGTCTAGCACAGTGCTGCGTCTGTCCTAAAAGGGGGTGAGGTTAGAAATGGTTCATCTCTCCCAGTAGTAGTAGTAGTAGTACCAGGTGGTTGTTAATTCGGTCAAGGAAGCAACAAGTTCCCAGGTGTACGGGTTTCACTTCTACAATTGCCTATCGTACAAGTGTGCAATTATATAACCTATTTAACAGTGTGGTTGTTTATCAAGTCCCAATTAAATAAGTAGATGAATGTCTTTTTATTTCCTTTTTTATTTATTGAACATACAAATGTGCAGTAAACATTCAGGCACGAGGCCGCGACCATACAAAGGCTGCCTGGGAAAGTACAGAAAAAGGGAAGACGAGCGGCGGTAGAGCAGTTAGTTCAAACCCGGAACTCCCAGTTCACAAATTGGTGATCTAACCACTTGGCCACTTGACAAGGCAACATAAACTACGTATAGAGAACTGATATGAGAATGTTCTGTAGCCAATGGGATTGTTAAATTTGACTAATCCACGTCTTTCCCCTATTAGTTTACCAGCCCAAGTACATCGTGGGGTGGTCATACAGTGCATTTCACTATCATATCGCCTTTGAGGTTTTGTGTTTGAGTCTCGTTAGTGTCACTTTATCTCCTCGAGTTGTTGTTTGTATCAAACGGCATCCCTTTGATTGACCCCGCATCACCTTGAAAGTTGCTTCTGCAACAATGTATTTAGTAGAAAGGAAGCAGAAGAACAATACAAACGTTTTACGACTCACCACCGTAGCGGTCTTTTTATAGGTCTTTTATTGTCCTATTTTCAGGTTGAACTCTCTATCTAGCACGTTCGGTGCCCAGTGTATAACATCATTTTTGGATGTTTGCAGTTGCTCCACCTTCGCACCATTCCTGACTTTCTGCCCCCTTTGTTTGCTCTTCTTACAGAAACGATACTTCGATACGGTGGAGGAGCTTCGTAATGAGACAGACAATACAGAGAAGAGGTCGGAAAGTCGATTTTCCGTTCTCGCGAAATCCTATCTTCCCTGGCGTCAACGCTCCCCATCTGAAGTGAGTCCACATTGCATTGGGTGTGATCCGTCATTGGTCGCCTGGAAGCCAATTCGATTCAGGTTGGTACAACCGATAACCATGCACCTTCGTGCGGCGGTTTTGTTTACCGTCTTTTGGCTGCCCATTAAGATGAGGAATAGGAGAAAGACCGGAAGGTTGAAAGGTTAAAAATGGCGAACTTCAGTGGTCTAGCTTTTTGATGCTAACCGTAGATAAACTCAGTACCAGTGAAGTATGGACACACTGAGAAAGTACTGTCGACATTGAATGATGTTGTGACCCGAAATGAACTTGCATAACAGTCAATCGTTTGCGATCGCGCATATGGATAATACCCTATCTTATTGTACGTCCGCTTCCTCGGCAGATGCTGAGATTCGAGTTTTTCAGCGTGTAATTCGAAATCGGCAAGCGATCTCTGTCCCTGTAACCGAAAGTAACAAATCTCCTTCAAAGTATTGTGTCATGTGCGAATCCACAATCGGAGGTTAACCTGAGGGACCTGAACGGGAACCTTTAACAGGCTGATCTGATCTACCAGGCAGTGGGACGGCGATTTGAATCCTCGATCCATTACTGGCCAATGTCGCATCATACTCCCTCACGACGGGCTTTTTTCCACCACCACCAAAGTGATGAGACAAGAAGCCAATATCCGGGTCGGTTAACCGCGATTGGAAGTTCATCTAGGGGAGTTGGTTGAAAACCTTGATTCCTAACCAACCAAGAAGAGGCGTACGGATGACATGCACACACATCTTCCTGGTTGTGACATTGGTCACTAACTCAATTGGATATCGAGGTATATTGGGTACCTTGGACGTTTGACCCCGTCTAAGGGGCGTATGCTTCAATGAACTGAACACCGGCCCGCAATAGATTGTGGTTTTCGCACACTGCCTCGCTGCCTTGCGAGTCAGGCTTTGGCTAACCGAAGGCTCCGGTTGTGAATTCCCCAAGAAAATTCACCTTATTTGGTCTGGGCAACCTGAAAGTACCGCGCTCACAAGCAAATCACGGAATTTTTTATTTAAAGATTAGTATACCGTGATTTGTTTGGCAGACAATCTGGCTCCATATGTATATGCTACTATTACTACTACTAGTGCCGGATTGATCAAACCAAGGCAGGTGTCAGAGGATTTCCAGAATTGGTGCTGTAAAACAGTGGGACTCCGGGTAGCAACGAAAATTCATTAGAAACTGATTCTATTGGTTGACCTTGAGACACTCCTACACGGCGTCGGTACGTTTCACTTAACGAACGATTCCTATCGCTTGTCACTAGCATTTAGGTTTGCGTATCTGCCGTTTGCCCAACCTTTCTTGTACTCGTACTCAGTCCTGCTTGGACGAAAAACAAAAATCGGTTCTGTGGTATGCACATGTAACCCAAAACCCTCGGTGTGTCTTGATTTGTGGCTGGTCATCCCCCACCACGATATGCTCGTATACAACCAGGTGTCCCAAATAACCTGTGTTAAGGAAGCCCCAATTCACTGCCTTCATGTGGCGGATATGTGTGTGTGAGAGAGAGGGACGAAAACCCACATCGGGATTAGTGAATCATTGACAGTTCACCCAAGGGTGTTGACTAAACCCCCCTGGTTCGAAACCAACTAAGAACAGGCTTACAAACCACACACAGACCCTCATCGTTTTGGTAGTAGTCACCGGCATGATTAAGCATCAGTGCAGGGGGCAATTTGGACGTTTGACCCTAACTAAAGATACCCGAGATCCTGTTCCCGAGTTATTAATGTGTAACCAAGGCGGTCATCACTTGTTTCTTACTCAGTTAACTTTTTGATGCATGTGATGAGTTACCTAAACGACTGGTTTGCAATCACAAGGATTGTTTGCTTGTATGGTGAATTTGCGAAATACAAACTTATGCTCGCGATTACCACCGCTTTTGTAAAGCAATATATAGTTCTCTATATCTGATTTCGTATATAGATAAACCGGGTGCAACCCAATTAGCAGGCCTTCACACCAGATGATCATTTCTTTTCTCTTTTTTCTTACAGTTTCTGTTCCGTTTTTGCAACATGCCATCTTCATGCCTCTAAACCTTATCACCCTTTGACTTGACTACTCGGATGGTGTATGTATCCATTGTGTAGGCGAGCGCTGCACGCTCACATCACCCTATCGTGTGTTGCTCACATCGATAGCACGTGTTGTGTGCACTAACCTAATCCGATCTCGTCGGCGTATACTGAGACACACATGGAATGCTGCTGCTGCCTGTTCATTCCAGCTTCGAGTATTCTCTCTCTCTCTCTCTTTCACACACACACACCTAATCAAATCAATCATCTGACCCCGGTCGAACTCTCTTTTTTCCGTGTATGATGTGTTGCATGCTTTATGAAGTCAGGCCGTTTACAGTCACCGAGTAGAGAGCGATTGGCGTCATTGATTGTTTGGACAAGTGACCCTAAGCACCGGGACGATTGAGTGAACGTACTTTGCTCACAATAAATGGATATACAATCTATGTCACTGTGAACTGCTGAGCTCAAACGGGCGCTGTTTTTTTCAATTTCGTCCACAAGATTAGTGTTCACGGAATCGTCCGTGTATAGTTCATGGATTTGGGTTAGGGCGTAAACAAGCGCACTGATTCTTTTTTTCTTTGTCATTGAACCGGGTTCCCCAATCGGGAGCGGTTTCCCACCTCAACTATCCCAAGTTCGCTTTGCTACGTCAACGATGTTTTACTATTCTGTTGTTTCTCGTCCTGTTGCTTCTGCTCGGATGAACGTAGGAGAACCGCTCTCTAACCAACGACCATCCTCCGCTCTTGAGCCCCAACCTGGAAGGCGCGTTGCACCAACCAAAGCCAAAGCTGAAAACCAGCTTCTTCATACCTCTACGCCATGTTATGGTCTGACCGCCGCGGCGCTTCTTCCAGCCTTGCCCGGAACGTGCAAACAGAGCATGAAGAGGTAGTCGATGGGCAGGCGTACGCAATACGTGACCAAGCCATCCGAGACGGTGTACAACGGTTAACTCTGTTGGAGAATGACTATCTACACCCAGCACACGACGACGAACCTCGTCATTACTCGCCCGGTGTTTCCACCAGACACGAGCAATGCTTCTAAGGCATCGATGGTCGAATACAGAAGNNNAGAAAGTCGATTAGCATCTCCAATGCGGAGGGGCCAGGTTTCACAAGCGTAGAACGCTTCGAACCGTGGTGATGTACACCCTTCCCTTAAGAGACAGTCGAATGTCATAGTGGCTCCACAGGTATCGCAGGTTGGCGAAAGCTGCTTTAACTTTCGCTATTTGTGATGTGATCTCCTCCACAACCCCAACACCATCTGCGATCAAGCTCCCGAGGTACTTAAAGACGATCACCATATTGTGTGAGTGCAGGCACAGGGTCGTGCTAGTCTTGCACACACTTTGCATTCAGATGGTAGAGGCATATACCGTATCTGGATACCTCTATCGTCAAGTGGTTCGAGGCGTGTTGGACTGTCTGTGTATTGTCACCCAGTAAGGCGGTGTCATTGGCATATTCCAAGTCAAGAACTCGATTTCCTGGGACGGGTTCGACTCCACGTTTTTCTAGACCGGACAAAGATTTTTGCAGCACATCCTCTATGACAAAAATGAAAAAGAATGGGGGTATAGAGCGGTCTTGTCGAGCACACTGGAGACGGCGAAGGATGGCAAAAGCTGACCATAGACCCTAACCCAACCTGAGGTATGACGATGCAACTCTTTGAGGATCGTCACATACTTCTCAGGTACTCCATTCCTCAAAAAAAAAACAGTTCCATTGTGCGGTCCCATCGACAGAGTCGAAGGCAGCTATCGGAGGGTGAAGATTTGGTCGATGCATCCACTACCAGCGCGGAACCCAAACTGCTCCTTGCGGGTTTGCTCTTCACGCGTGGTGTACAATCGCCGGAGAATGACGGACGCCAACAGCTTTGACGCTATCGGGATCAGGTTTATACCCCTGTGATTGGCGCAGTCACTGCGCGGGCCCTTTTCGAAGATATTGACAACAATCGATTCTCCACACGAGGAGGGGACCTGCTTAGTGTTCAAAGCAGAGGGAAGGCCATCGGACCCCGGCGCCTTGTGACGTTTCAAGGCTTGTATCTCCTTATGGATTTCCGCCTCAGTAGTTGGGTCTGTTGAAACAGACCATGGGACGTGTGCCGGAATAGCTGTGTGAGAAGCTGACACTGATGACAAGCTAAATTGTGCTTCGAAGTGCTCCGCCCAGCGTGCAAGGCGTCGCTGTTGATTATGAATGGGCGAACCGTCAGCTTCTCAGATCGTTTCGCTCACACCTAAGGCTTTCCTACCAGTAACCCGGATGGGATGGAACAACCTACGGGAATTTCCCGTTCGTTCCATCTCTGATGCACGTTGAGTCCACCAGATTTCGCGGTCTCTGTGTAGGCTTGCGTTGAGGTTACGACTCGTTGCGTGTCCTATTTAATTATGCTCGCTGGCGGTCGGGATTGATCGGCGTGCATCGAAAAGACGTAGAGACTCCACAGAAATCCAGGGTGTCGCATCACGACGTGTTGGACCACAGCTAACTAAGCTAGCAGAATGCAGAGTATTCTTGATAAGCAACTAGTGTTGGCTAATGTCATCGGGTGGGGTTGGTTCTAAATTTTCAGCCAGCGCGCTCTGAAGAATAGTTAGGTTTGCTGTTTCAGACAATACATAAGGCTTCAATAGGCCCTGCTCGCAACCACGCCTGATCTATTGAAGTCTTATGTGGTCCGCCACTCCAAGTTTCACGGTCATGGTTGCCGGTTTCCTCATAACATAAACATGACAATACAAATTCACAAATGATCACGTACTGTCGCTCGCTCTATGCAGTCAGACTGTAAACACGCACTCATCACCTTCACCAAAATTCGCGGACTGAACCGCAATATTGATTCTGAACACCGTTTTCTCCATTCTTC